GATCCCCAGTAGGGGGCGTGCAGGAGGCAGCCGACCCATGATTCTCTCTCATCATTCATGTTTCTCTGTCTCTCACCCTCTCCCTTCCTCTCTGACATCAATAAAAAAACAATGAATCAATTAACAAAATAATGAATAAATAAAACAAGGCAATACCCACATTGTGAAGCAACTGTCCACAGAAAACCCAAGTCATTGGCTAGACAAGCGTGCAAAACAGGACACGTAGCCGAGGCCAACAGTCTATTGACTATTATTTTTAAATATTTTTTTATTGATTTCAGAGAGGAAGGGAGAGGGAGGGAGAGAGGAGAGAGAGGGAAACATCAACAATGAGAGAGAATCATGGACTGGCTGCCTCCACGCCCCCTACTGGGGATCAAGCCCACAACCCGGGCATGTGCCCTTGACCGGGAATCGAACCCGTGACCTCCTGGTTCCTAGGTCAACGCTCAACCAACCCCTGAGACAGGCCGGTGACTACTTTTGCGTGTCAATAGCAGCAGCACACCCGTAGGGGGCGCTACTTCCTGGCCAGGATGGCGCCGTACGTGCCCGGGGTCCTCTTGCACTGCACGTCCCCGAAGCCGGCGGCAGCCAGGAGAGCCCGGTACTGGGCGGGGGTCCGCTCCCGGCCCTCCGTCTGCACCAGCATGTTCAGCGAGTACAGCTGGGTGGTCAGAGGTCCCCGCCCGTCGGTGTCCAGGAGGCTCTCGACGACCAGGACCCCACCGCCTGCGACAGGGAGAGGCGGCGTGAGCGAGGGACAAAGACAGAGGCAAAGAAACTAAAATAAATTTTAATTGTAATTTAACTTTATTGTTTAAAGTGTTACAAAGAGCCCTGGCCGGTGTGGCTCAGTGGATAGAGTGTCGGCCTGTGGACTGAAGGGTCCCGGGTTCGATTCCGGTCGAGGGCATGTACCTGGATTGCGGGCACATCCCCACAACCTCCCATGCTCTGTCCCTCCCCCTAGCCAGCAGGCCCCAATCGGCCCACCACCCACCCACTGCAGTGGCGGCACAGCTGTGAAGGAAGGAGGAGGGGGGGAGGTGGGGAACTGCACGGTGGTGGGGTGCCGATGATGGCAGTGTCGGCATCCGGCATCTGTTCCTTCTTTGTCTGGCCAGGTGACCGTCACCTCCTCTCCGGCCCGGCCCGGCCCTGATCGGCCTGGCCCTGATCAGCCCTGATCGCTTGCCAGGCCTAGGGACTCCACCCGTGCATGAATTTCATGCACCAGGCCTCTAGTCTAATATATTAGATTTTTAAAGTAATATGTTAATTCTCTTTAAATGCTTGATGGGCACTCTTGTGGAAAAAGGGTTAAATTTGCTGTTTGGTTCCAGAGGGAAGAACAAGAAACAGAAAAAGCAAATTCCAACTCAGTATAAAGAACTTCTTACTAAGTTGACTGTCTTGGTAAATAATGAATTCTCTGTCATTGGAGATAGTCAAGTACAAGGTGGATGAACACTATTGGAGGAGCTTCTTGAGAGGATGTATGCTTCATTTAGGAGTTGATTAGGATCTTTCTAATTTTAAGACTCTGATTCTACTGTTCACTAGTGTGTATTGAGAGCCTTGCGTGAGCAAGGCACTATGTTTTAATGAACATTGTTTTAAGCCAATCCATGGATCTGTCACCTGTACCATTCAGCATGTGAATTATCCCTCTTTCTCCACTTCCTGAGCATCAGGCAACTTCTCTCCGGACTCTCATCTCCTGCAAGGGCTTGAGGTACCCTGTGCTCAGCCTTTAGGAACCTGAACCATCCTACGTGGACAGAAAACCTGTGAGCTGTCACTGTAGACAGGGCATCCTTCGAAGTGATGTTATCTGGCATTTGTATACAGCCTGGTGGAAGGGTTACATACAAATGATGGCTCAGAACTCTGCTCCGAATATTGATATCTGCCCGTATGTATAATGTTTCAGAAAGAGCCTCTTATCTGTAAACAAAAATGCATGCCAGTCTGGCAGTAGTGATTTTTTTCTTTATTCCCAAGATAATCTATGAGTATTTCCAGGTTTCGAAAAGCCTAATTAACATTGTGACTTACATAGTCATGAGTATTGGGACAAAAAGAAATTTTTGAGAATTATATGTTAACTCACCTCCATTTCTTTTCTGTTGTGACTTTTATTCGTTTATCTCATTTCAAAATCTTGAACAACTGGCATTCCTGAAGGCATCAGAGACTTTGTGAGGATACTGGGAATGCTTGAAGTTGGCCAGTGTGGAAAAGGACGTAAGAGAACAGCCCAGCTGGGGTTGCTCAGTGGCTGAGCATCAACCTATGAACCAGGAGGAGACAGTTGGATTCCCAGTCAGGACACATGCCCAGGACCCCCAGTAGGGGGCGTGCAGGAGGCAGCAGATCAATAATTCTCTCTCATTGATGTTTCTATCTCTCTCTGTCACTCCCTTCCTCCCTGAAATCAATAAAATAATATATATATATATATTTAAAGTTCTACATTGAGGGCGTGTCTTTGGAGGCTGGAGGAGTCACTCGGACCCCCCACCGTTGGCCTCTCCCAGCCTCGGGGACGCACCCACGTGTCCCCGGGGACACAGGCAGCAGGCGAACACCCACCTTCGTGGAAGCCGATGCGTCCTTCCTCGGGGGACAGGAAGTGATCCTTGGCCGCCCGCACCACCGATGGGATGTCGAATACGGTGACCCGGCACCCCGGGTACAGAGAGACACACTCCTTGGCCAGAGCCCCAGAGCAGCCTGGGAGTGGACACAGAGGGTGGCGGGCAGAGAGGAAGGTCTGAGCAGCCCCCATCAACCCCTGAGGGTCCAGGAGGCCTCCCCTGGGATTGCTACCCAGCATCTGGGGGAGGGGACAGGATGACGCCTTGGACTCAAGCATCCATTCTTAGGCTGGGAGACCCTGTGACGATGCTAGTGTGGCCCATGGACCGGCCACATCCTGGGAGGTTGTCAGAAACTCAGATTCTCGCTCAGTGGTTGAGCATTGACCTATGAGCCACGAGGTCCCGGGTTTGATTCCCGGTCAAGGGCACATGCCCGGGTTGCGGGCTCTATCCCCAGTAGGGGGCGTGCAGGAGGCAGCCGATCCATGATTCTCTCTCATCGTGGATGTTTCTCTTTCTCTCTCTCCCTCTCTGGAATCAAATCAATCAATCAATGAATCAATCAATAGAAGTCTACATTGCCCATGTTTACATTGCTCAATCAATCAATCAAGCAATAGAAGTCTACATAGCCCAATCAATCAATAGAGTTCTACATTGCCCAGCCAATGTGGCTCAGTTGTTGAGTGTCAACCTATGAACCAGGAGGTCACCATTCGATTCCCGGTCAAGGGCACATGCCTGGGTTGTGGGCTCCATCCCCAGTAGGGGGCGTGCAGGAGGCTGATTCTCTCTCATCATGGATGTTTCTCTCTCTCTCTCTCTCTCTTCCTCTCTGAAATCAATAAAAATGTATATATTTTTTTAAAATGCACAAAAAACAAGGGTGCAGACACTCCCCATGCAGAATTTTAAACATGTGGGTTAGAAGCTCACCCCCGAGGTCACAGACGAGAGGGAATGGTGACAGGTCAAAGGCAGCCAGCACACCGCTCCCCTGGACACTCCAGACGTCCTGCAGGGCTCGCATGAACAGCAGCCGCTCCCCCTCGGACCTGGCGTGGGAAACCCCAAAACCAAACTCCTCAACACCATGCGGAATGTGAACCAGGAGGTCCCGGGTTCGATTCCCGGTCAAGGGCACGTGCCCGGGTTGCAGGCTCGATCCCCAGTCGGGGGCGTGCAGGAGGCGGCCGGTCCGTGATTCTCTCTCATCATGGATGTTTCTCTCTCTCTCTCTCCCCATCTCCCTTCCTCTCTCTGAGATCAATAAAAATATACTTTAAAAAATTAAAAAATATTTATATATTTTTTCAGTAAAGTAAAAAAATAATAATAAGTTGGGTTTGCTCATAGTCATTCGAAGACAAGGGCAAATTCTACATCTAATCAGAACCTTGATCTACCCAGACATTACAAAGGCAAAATCTGTTTGTTTGTTTTTTAAATTTTAAATTAAATATCGACGTCGGTGTGTTTGGCTCTATTTGTACACAGTTATTCAGCCCGGAGAGGGGAACAGCTTATAAACGACATGATGGTCTAACTCTAACCATTTCCCTGTACACCTGAAACGAATCTAAAACAATATTAAATGTAAACTCTAATTGAAAAAAATTGTCAATAAAAAACTGTAAAGATAAAAATAAATAGCCCGGCCGGTGTGGCTCAGTGTTTGAGCATCGACCTAGGAACCAGGAGATCATGGTTCGATTCCCGGTCAAGGGCACATGCC